TACTGAGCACCTACTGTGTGTGAAACTCTGTCCTAGGTGCCAGAAATGGGAGGGATTTGAAGGTGAATAAGGGAATGGTAGAGGAAATAAGTGATGAAAACTCAGTGTTACAAAAATGCTTTGCTACCATAGAGTGCAGTACATTCTAATTGCCGTATTCAGAGAGACTCTCTACTGCCTTTTACAAAACCTGCTTATGATGCCCCTCACACTGAATATTCACAGATAGTAGGCTATGCACTAGTGCAGTAGACTCAAAGGTGGAGGGTGTTCAGAAAGATCTCTGGAGGACAAGAAAAAATTACAGAACTTTTCTTACCTCACCCTTTAAAAATTTCTATTTTTATATTTTATAATGTACCTGGCATATATGCATGCAAATGTATATCATACATAATACACACATTTCTCTGTTAAACAACAAACAGATACAGGACACATGCTCCAAAATGTTCTATTTATAAAGTATTGTACAATTCACAGAGTTTGCAGCCCTCCTCTCAGGCCCACCTGCTCACCTTTTGCAGTTGACTTGCATACTCCCAAGAGTCAGCATTATTTCTTTCCAGCCTCTTTATGTCAGTGATGTTTGTAATCATTTACTATAATTTAATTAAATGTTATATAAGCCAGTGAAATATTGTTTAAAAAAAAAAGAATTGTCTGTGAAAACTAAGTTGAGCAGACTTGTTTATAGTCTAGATTGGACAGTATTTTTTTTATTGCTGTCCAATTTAGGGTAGGCAAGACACCTGTGAACAGTGGAGAGCAATAATCATAAAAATCTGGGATTCTGCTTTAGTTTGGTTTGCAAGAATCTGAGTTCTTACTCTACCTTAAAGAATCTAAAACTGGAAGTCAGAGATATATTATGAATATGATTCATGCAGTAACAACGACATGGAACTTCACTCAGTGGAACTAAACTCACACATAAGTCCTTGGCCCTCCCTCCATAAAAAGATGGGCGAATGAACGTACAGTGGATTCTTGTTATTCACAGTAGCTATGTTCTCTAAAGGCGCCATAAACACAGAATTAGTGAATACTGAACCATTGTTCCTAGAGGAAACACAGAGTTGGATTCCTGCGAGCCTGTGGTCACAACATGTTCATCAGCTAATCAATACATAACCTGGTTTTATGTGTGTTTCTGTTTAAAGACCCCTTATTTAGTAAATACTATCGACTCATTAACGTTGAACTCATAGCCAACGGCACTGTAAATCATGCCTGAACGAAGCTTATCTAACAGGTATTTCTTCCATGAGGCACATCACAGCCTTCCTGCACTTCGGTCCACTAGACAGCACTTCAGCACTAAGCTTGGGGGCCATTGTAAACCTCGAGATCACCAGCAAAAAGCACTAAAATGCTAGCAACATGGCATTAATAGACTGCAAAAAGGATACTTGTTTACAGTGAGAGCTGAAACAAGGCAGTGTGTCACCTTGTTCGACCTCAGCTGGGAATGTGTGCGTAGGGCAACTCAAATTTTTCTGTGCGTGTCCATGAATGTGCTGCCAATATTGATTTGGGGGTTTACAAATAAATTTTAGCAAGTAGGCAAATTCATAAATATAGAATCCACAAATAATGAGGGTCAACTGTATATGTTTTAGGTTAAATAAAACATTTAATGTGTACATGAAATTTTTTTTATGAGCCCCTTCTTTACCTAACTGTGATTAACGAGCCCCTCTCTGCAAGGCGCAGTAAACCCTGCTGTCTTCACAGGGGAAAGGCAGGAGAGAAACAGGCCTCCACTTTCAGGTGTGACTGAATGATTCTTACACTTTCAGGTGTGGCCGTTTGTCTCTCTGGGTTGTGAGGATGAAATGAGTTTAGGTATTTGTTGCAATGTTGCAGCATCCGAGACAGTGCCCCACACTGGTAAAAATTAATTTAAAACACTCTGCAAATATCCTACACAAAATGTATGTAATCAGTGCTAATTATTAATTCGGGAAGAGTGAGTTATTGTCAACTTCAGGTGGAAATGCCCATAGGGCCCACTGGGTGACAGCTCTCTACAGCCTCTGCACTTGTCCCAGTCTCTTACCTCAGTCTCAGCTTTCAGGGAAGGCACAGACCAGGTTCCATCTCCCACAACTCCCCAAACCTCACCTGTTCACGGCCCAGACAGGACACAGGAGAAGAAGGAGGGGGAGGGAGAAAATCTGAACTATCTCTTGTTCATAAGGCACCAAACCAGATGGGCCACAGGCTTGACCGCCCAACCTGCCCTGGGTGGCTCACTCTGCCTGCATGTAAATCTCACATGTGGGGCCTTCCTGAGCCCCAGCTACCTCCCTCCAGGCCCCCAGCCCCTCCACCTTTGCCCAGAGGTTCTGATTGTCCAGTAGGTCTGCTGGGGATGTGGGCTCCTTCACACTGTCTGTGCCACAATGAGACTCACTGTAGGGGCTTCTCTTCTGGAGTTTTTATAAAGTGAGTTCTCCCCACATGCACCTACCACAAATAGTGGTTTGGACGTTGTTGAAACTTGAAGAAAGAGGCAAAAAAGTCAGCCCACTCTCATTAGCCATTTGTAATGAGATGTTTCTCTCTTTTAAATGTATTAACATTTCCAACATATGCAAGAGTAGAGAGAACAATGTAATGAACCCCCATACACCCATCACCCAGTTTCAGGAATTATCAACTCCTGGCCAATCACGGTTCATCTCTTCCCCACCCCAGATAATTTCAAAACAAATTCCAGGCATCACATTTTGTTTATAAATATTTCATTATATATCTCTAAAGGCAAGGACTTAAAAAAAAAAGCATAACCAAAATATTATAACTAAAAAATGAACAGTGATTTCTGAATGTCACCAAATATCTGGTCAGTGTTCAATTTCCTTTCTGAATGTCACCAAATATCTGGTCAGTGTTCAGTTTCCTTGATTCGGACATTGCTCTTGTCCTTTCAGTTCAGTACAGAGCTTTCAGCTGACCAGTGGCGTGGTGATGGGTTGGTGAGCACATGGAGTGTGCAGTTGAACTTGAGGTGGGGTGATAGTGCCGTTTCCAGGGCAGTAGAACAGGACAGGGCTGCCGCTGGCTCCAGAGGGGTGTGGCCTCCTCTCCGTGCGCCCTGTGGGGCTTCAGTGTGTTCTGGCCAGAAGGAACCTTGCCCAGAGTAGCTGCGACCATTCTGCTTCCCTACTTAACTGTCTTGTAGCCTGTGACTTAGCCCTCTGGGTGCTTAAGACAGGGAATGGTTTCTGTGGTTTGGGATCTGTCCCCCCAGAACATGGCCTGCATGTGAGGGATTTGCTGGGGAACAGGGCCAGGGAGAGAGAAGGAAGCTGTGCTGTCTGGGCCCACGGCTGTGAGAACTTTCAGTACCTAAAGGTGTTCTGGGTTCTCTGAAGCTATCCCTTCCCAGAGCCTTTATCACAGTTGGTGAGCTCAAAGAGAATTCCTTCAAAAGGAGTTTTGCATTTTGAGTGGCTCGTGGGAACCCAGTATTCTAAATTTAATTGAATGATGACAGGAATCTTGATGGCGAGATACAGCCAAGTTAGTGGTGGAGATAGGAGAGCTGGACAGACAGCAGGAACGTGTTTGCTGTGTCCTGCCACCGCATGATAAGGAAAGCAGAGTTGCACATACTTGGCACTTCTCTCTTTCAACGCTAGATGAAAATGAGCTCAGCTGCTTCACGGGTGATTTCGTTATCTCTTTATTTCCAGAGAAGAATTTCAAAGCAAAAAAAGTTTCCATTAAGGTGTATACAGTGTAAACTTGAGCAGGTTGCTTTGCCCCTCTGTGCCCCAAGTTCTTTCTCTGTGAAACAATAACAGGACCAACCTTAGAGGTTTTGTGAAGGTCAAATGCATTTGTACGTGTACATACTTGGAATGATGCTAGGTATGCAGCACTGTCCAACAGAACTTTCTGCGATCATGGAAATGTGCTAGGTCTGTACTGCCTGACTCCATTGAGCCCATGAAATGAGGCCACAGTGACTGAGGAAAATTAAAAATTTAAATAGCCACATGTGACTCTAGTAGCTGCTGTAGTCAATGCCAGTCTAGGGGATGTGGATAATATCATAATGATTGGTTTTTAAGATTGTTCTCAGTGAAGATCCAGAAGACGACACTGGTATGAAAAGTAGAGAAAAGGGAGACACGCCGTTATAAAATGGTGTTTGTTATGCATCTGGCCCAGGATGTTTAAGGTGTCGGAGGCCATCTCTGAAGTGAGGCATGATGACCTTTGGATGGACTGCCTTTGTGGGAGTCTTTCTAGGAAAGCCTTGGGATAGGTGAAGGTGGGAGGGGCTCATGTTTTGCCCTTGCTGCTTACTGCCGTGTGACCTCGGCCATGTTGCTTGATGTTCTGGGGCCTCATTGTTTTCATCTGTGAGATGCAGGTTAGGATGCCCACCCGCCTGCGGGGGCATGTACACTGCCCCAGTAGGATGCCATGCACTTAGCGTGGGCTCAGTACTTAGAGGTACTGTTATTTTTCAGATATATGGTAACAGTATCAGAATTGAACACATAATCACTGTCACGTGCTACTAATTCACTTGGAGAATTTGATTATCATTTTATCCTGATCAGATGCCAGGGATGCTGATGTGATCGCTGTAGATGCTGTATAAATTCATGCTTTTTGACTTTTAAACATTTTTGATAATTAGAACCCATTGAGCTGAGGGAGGGAAATGGTCACTCCACGTCGCATAATTCAGGTAAGAACAAGTAGGCCTGCACCAGTTGGCTTCACATTCCCAGCTAGCTTCTCGTTGGACACACCTGTGCTGTCTGCAAAGACTGGCTATCCAAAAGTTGGTAGGATATAATTTTTTAAAGGAAGAGTTTTTTGTTGCTAACCATGAGCAAGACTGGCTTCTTGATGTCATATCGTTTTTATTTTGCTCAAGTGAAATGAAGGAACATAAAATATAAGAAGGCTAATGGACAGGTGGAAGCTCTGTCTTGGCTGCTGCCTCATATCCCGTCCCTTTCTTCTCCTAGATGTGATATTTGCTGCGTCACCTTTCGAACACATCGAGGATTGCTACGCCACAATGCACTTGTCCACAAACAACTTCCCAGGGACGCAATGGGAAGGCCTTTCATACAGAACAACCCTTCTATTCCTGCTGGCTTCCACGACTTAGGATTCACTGACTTCTCCTGTAGGAAGTTTCCTCGGATTTCTCAGGTATTCTGATTGGCCCATGGAGCTGACAGCCATTTCCACAGTCCACATAGTTAGACTAAACTTCCACACCCTGAGGTTTTCTTTTCCTTAAAATGTTGTCAGTTGGGTTTTGTCTTCTTTATAACACCTTTTCTCTTGAAATTCAGCTTGGCCCTTTCAGTCTTCATTGGGTCTTTGAGTTGGGAGGGGTAGGTGGCCTTTTATGTTTTGTGTTGCATTTCATACTAACTTGCATATGAGTCTAGCTCATCAGTGCTTTTTGCCCATTCTTAGGGCATTTGGATTTAAAGTTGTGAATTGTTCACCGCCTCCACCCCAGCCCTATCCCAATTGAGTTTGTATTTTTTAAATATTTGTTTAATATCCATATTACAGTTATATATTTCCAGTGTTGTAGTTTCTATTAAAAATGTTTTGGGTCATTATTAACCTGAGCCATATTTGTTCTCTGCTTATAAAACACCTCCTGAAGCTAGTTTGAAACTATTTTTTCCAGTTTTTAAAAATTGACGTATAGAGGAAGAATGGGCACGGATGTTAGCCCAGGGCCAGTCTTCCTCAGCAAAAAGAGGAGGATTGGCAACAGATGTTAGCTCAGGGCTGATCTTCTTCACACACACACAAAAAAAATTGAGGTAGAAGATATCAACAGTGAAATTATTCAAGTACAGAAGCCTCAAGTTCAATTAATTATTCCATATGTATACACCCATATGTATACATGCATACATATATGCCCATATCTGTACACTCGTGTAACGCACTAGATGGTGCTCCCTTGTGCCCCTTCCCAGGCCGTGCCCTCTTTTCCACAATCACAGAGGTAGCCAGGTCTCCACTGATGGCAGGTAGTCACCATCAGTTAGTTTTTTTTGTTTTTTTGTTTTTTACAGAATTTGTCATTTATTTTTCTTTTTTATGTTATTGTTTCTTTTTTTTAAATTTTTTATTGCAGTAACATTGCTTTATAACATTGTATAAATTTCAGGTGTACATCATTATACTTCTATTTCTGCATAGATTACATCATGTTCACCACCCAAATACTAATTACAACCCATCACCACACACACGTGCCGAATTATCCCTTTCGCCCTCCTCCCTCCCCCCACCATCAGTTAGTTTTGCAAGGCACCCATTTTTAAAAAGAGGATTAATGCTACCTTCATGGTATTACTACTTAACTGTACTTCAGTGCTGCCCTGCTGAGATACCCTAGGGATTGATGTCATTCATCAAGCAAACATGATTCTTCAGCTGCTCTGTGGTTTTCCTTAGTCTCTGAGTTAGCAAGCAGGGAAGGTCGGCTCCTTACAAATTATGGAGAAGGGCTGGCTACTGGGGTAGTTGTACAACTAAGACCTTCACATCTCAGTTGAGTGATTGTTTTTAAACCCTCCTCTTCACCCCCTTGCTTTCGATGACCTGGCTTCCATGCAGGCCTGGTGTGAAACAAACCTGCGAAGGTGCATCAGCGAGCAGCACCGTTTCGTCTGCGACACGTGTGACAAGGCGTTCCCCATGCTCTCCTCGCTTGCCCTGCACAAGCAGACCCACCTCGCCACAGACCAGGGACGGGAAAGGCTGCAGGCCAAGACCCTGCCTGGTGACGCCCTGGACCAGAAGACCTTCCTGGCCTTGCTGGGGCTGCAGCACACCAAAGACATCAGGCCTGGCCCTGCCGAGGAGCCCCTGCCAGATGACAACCAAGCAATACAGCTCCAGACGCTCAAGTGTCAGCTACCTCAGGACCCCGGCTGCACCAACATGCTGAGCCTGTCTCCTTTTGAAGCTGCTTCTCTGGGCGGTTCTCTCACAGTCCTCCCCGCTACCAAGGAGAGCATGAAGCATCTGTCCCTGCAGCCCTTCCAGAAGGGCTTCATCATCCAGCCAGACAGTAGTATTGTGGTCAAGCCCATCTCCGGGGAGTCGGCCATCGAGCTGGCAGACATCCAGCAGATTCTGAAGATGGCAGCCTCGGCTCCCCCTCAAATCAGTCTTCCACCCCTCTCCAAGGCCCCTGCCACCCCTCTGCAGGCGATTTTCAAGCACATGCCCCCTCTGAAGCCAAAGCCCCTGGTCGCCCCACGGACAGTGGTGGCCACCTCCACGCCCCCCCCTCTCATCAATGCCCAGCAGGCATCCCCGGGCTGCATCAGCCCCAGCCTCCCACCGCCGCCCCTGAAGCTCCTCAAAGGCTCCGTGGAGGCGGCCTCCAACGCCCACCTGCTGCAGTCCAAGTCCGGGGCCCAGCCGAACGCGGCGGCGCAGCTCTTCCTGCAGCAGCCGCGCCTAGAGCTGCCAGGCCAGGCCGAGATGAAGACGCAGCTGGAGCAGGACAGCATCATCGAGGCCCTGCTGCCCCTGAGCATGGAGGCCAAGATCAAGCAGGAGATAACGGAGGGGGACATCAAAGCCATCATGACGAGCCCCAGCAGCAAGAAGACGCCGGCCATGCGCAAGGTTCTCTACCCTTGTCGCTTCTGCAACCAGGTGTTCGCCTTCTCGGGGGTGCTGCGCGCGCACGTGCGCTCCCACCTGGGCATCTCGCCGTACCAGTGCAACATCTGCGACTACATCGCCGCCGACAAGGCTGCGCTCATCCGCCACCTGCGCACGCACAGCGGTGAGCGGCCCTACATCTGCAAGATCTGCCACTACCCCTTCACCGTCAAGGCCAACTGCGAGCGGCACTTGCGTAAGAAGCACCTCAAAGCCACCCGCAAGGACATCGAGAAGAACATCGAGTACGTGACCAGCAGCGCGGCCGAGGTGGTGGACGCCTTCTGCTCCCCCGACACGGTGTGCCGGCTGTGCGGCGACGATTTGAAGCACTACCGCGCGCTGCGCATCCACATGCGCACGCACTGCGGCCGCGGCCTGGGCGGCTGCCCCAAGGGCCGCAAGCCCTTCGAGTGCAAGGAGTGCAGCGCCGCCTTCTCGGCCAAGCGCAACTGCATCCACCACATCCTCAAGCAGCACCTGCACGTGCCCGAGCATGACATCGAGAGCTACGTCCTAGCGGCCGAAGGCCTGGGCCCTGCGGAGGCACCTGCCGAGGCCTCGGGGAGGATGGAGGACGGCAGTGGGGCCTTTGGCGAGCGCAAACCCCTCGCCACCTTCTTGGAGCCACAGAACGGCTTTCTGCACGGGGGCCCCACCCAGCCTCCGCCTCCACACGTCTCAGTCAAGTTGGAGCCCGCCAGCAACTTGGCGGTGGACTTCAACGAGCCCCTGGACTTCTCCCAGAAGGGCCTGGCCCTGGTCCAAGTGAAGCAGGAAAGCGCCTCCTCCTTCTTGAGCTCCTCTTCCTCGTCCCCCTATGACTGCTCCATGGAGCCCATCGACCTGTCCATCCCCAAAAACTTCAGGAGAGGAGACAAGGAGACAGCTGCTCCCGGCGAAGCCAAGAAGTCTGAGCAGGAACCAGGGAGTGGGGAGCAGCCCTCACCCTGTCCACCACTGTGCCCTACCCTGCCGGTGCCTGGGGGGTCCAGCGGCATCCTGGAAAAACCCACCGTCCCTGCAGTGGGGACCTCGGCAGCCACCATCCTGGAAGCCCACACTCAGCCCCTGCAGGGTTCTGTTCAGCTTGCTGTCCCCATCTACTCCTCAGCCATCGTCAACAGCTCCCCCATCTTGGGCAACTCCACCCTCATAAGCAGCCCAGCGTTGTTGCGGCCACTGCGCCCTAAGCCTCCTCTGCTCTTGCCAAAGCCCTCTGTGACCGAAGAGCTGCCCCCGCTGGCCTCCATTGCCCAGATCATCTCATCCGTGTCCTCTGCCCCCACCTTGCTGAAAGCCAAGGTGGCTGATCCCGGTCCCGTCAGTGCTGGCAGTAACACCACAGTTTCAGACAGCTTAGGAGGCACTGTCCCTAAAGCCGCCACTGCCCCCACTGACACCACAAGCCCAAAAGAACCCAGCGACTCACCGCCTGCTGCCAACAGCCCAGAGGCGGCTTCGCCCACAGAGCAGGGGCCAGCTGGCTTGTCAAAGAAGAGGGGCCGGAAGAAGGGGATGAGGAGCCGGCCGCGAGCCAGCAGCGGCAGCGTGGACCTGGACTCGAGTGGGGAGTTTGCCAGCATAGAGAAGATGTTGGCCACTACGGACACCAACAAGTTCAGTCCGTTTCTGCAGACCGCAGAGGATGATGCTCAGGATGAGGTGGCTGGAGCTCCTGCTGACCACAACGGGCCCAGTGATGAAGAGCAGGGTAGCCCCCCAGAAGACAAGCTGCTGAGGGCAAAGCGGAACTCCTACGCCAACTGCCTGCAGAAGATCAACTGTCCCCACTGCCCCCGGGTCTTCCCTTGGGCCAGCTCCCTCCAGAGGCACATGCTCACACACACTGGTAAGAGGGGCCCGCCAGGCCATGGGTCCTGCCTCCCCACAGGGAGGCTGTGGCCTGTCTGGCCGGATGAGGGGAAACAAGGGGTGGGGGTCGAAAGGGTGGGACTCTTTTTCCATGACCCTATTCTTAGTTTCTCTTCTTTCTCAATCTCAGAAGCAGGGAGCTTGCCTGGTGGTGCCCTGAGTTTTTCTGCTTGTCGTCTTGTAACCAGAATGCCCTGTTCCCATTGTCTGAGCCCTCCAAGGGCGGCTGGTGAAGGGAGGTGTGAAACGTAAGGTGTTTGTAGGTGAACGTGGTCATAGGCCCCCATGCCTTCTGGAGCAGGTAGTGGAATTATTTACTTGGTTACGCCTGGAGGCAGCTAGGAGGAAGTGGAACTTTGTGTTGAGGTGTTGGGCCAGAAGGAACTCAGTGCTTTGACAGGAGAAATTGCATCTCGATGTCCTCAAGGCAGCTTTTAAAATTTTCAGCATTCTGTGAAGTTCTTTTGACCACCAGGTATTCGTAAAGGGAAATATCGCAAGTTTTGCAGTTATCTTTCAGTTCACTAAGGCAGTCGCATCTTCCCGTTTATTGTGAAAATCAGTGACAAGTAGTTTTAGAACTTTTTAAAATTTTATTTACACTAAAATTGTCTGCTGTTCCAGAGAAACACACAGATGTAAATAACGTCTAAGTAACAGACTGAAGTTACCAAAAGGATAGCCCAAAAATATTTTTCAAATGTGAGTTTCTACATGTTGATTTTTAAAGAGAAGTTTAAGATAAGGAATGCACTTTAAGTAATTTTATACCACTACTTCTGGTCAAGTGATCATATAGCTGTCATGTTAATTCTAATTTACTGAATTTCATACAAGATTTATATTGTTGCACTAAGGATAAATTGGGTAAGATCCTTAACCTTTTGGAGATACCACCCAAATATTGATAGGACCTAAAACCGAATAAAGAATCGTATGGTACAGGATTGCCAGATAAAATACAGAATGCCAGTTAAATTTGAATTTCAAATAAGCAACAAACAATTTTTAGTATAAATATTTTCCATGCAATATTTGGGGTGTACTAAACCTTATTTGTTATTTATCTGAAATTCAAATTGAACTGTATTTTTAGTTGCTATATCTGGCAACCCTAGGTAATTAGAAAGCTTACAGTGTGGTGAGGGGAGGGTAGTGGGAACTGGGTGTGAGCCGCACTCTGTACCCAGGTGGAAACGCTTCATTTGGGGTTGATCATCACGTGAAGCTTTGAAGAAGGCTGTTTCTACTAATGAGGTAGATGGTGGGAATGAGGTCACAGAGTTACCCTGTGAAATGAGAGTGTGCAGAGAGGAGGCGGGGAGGGGAGAGCAAGCTGTGGAGTCTCTGAGGCCGGGTGCAACATACACGCAGCTTTTCTTTTTGGTGTGATAGGCCTCAAATCCAGGAATGGAATGGCAGCAAGTCAGATGTGCCCGTCCATGAAGGACTCATTTAACAGAGAACAGAATTTCTAGATTTCTAAAGTATATGCTGCATTTTTCAGGCCGTCATTTTCTTTCCGTTTGAAATCATTTGAGCCTGACAAAGTAAAATAACAGGTCTAATGAAGAAAGTGGTTCAGAGAGAAGATGCATCTTAAAGAGAAGGTGGCCCACACAGCAGTCTCTTTTGCTACCCTTTTTTGGGTGACACCTGTTTGTCGCCTGCAGAGTCTCTGGAGAAGTGAGTATTTCTGTTACCGCTTTTCAGAAGCAGATGGTCTGGATCAGATGGTGAGGGTGGCTCTTGCCCTGCCATCACCCGGCCTCCCCACCGCCCTCCTCCAGCTAGGAGCGCTGTGCTGGGGCATTCTGTGCACATTTTCCCCAGATGGGCCATTTATTCCTGGATGTTCTCTTCTCGACAAGCCGACAGTCTGTCTAAGAGGGCTGGAGCAAGTGGTATTTCCTTTCAAGGTGTCTTTGCAGGTGCCTGATGTAAGTTCCCACTTGTGAATCCAGTCGTTTTGGTTGCCTGGCTTTTGAATGCCAAAATGTCCTGGTTGGTTTAAAATTTGGTAGCATCTGAAACTGAGCAAGAAAGATGGGAGGTTTGTTTAAGGCAGGTGGGGGGGGTGGATGTAAATATGAACATGTTCTGCCACTTCTCCCTGCACAGTTACTGTGCCTCTAATGGCTGTGTCTGTTTCGGCCTGCTCCCTGACATCCTATCACATTATGTTCGTGTAGTGGTGGTGGTGGGCTTGACTTGTGGGGTTATCCTTGTGTACAGGGTTGGTAGAGAAAGCTTTCAGAGCTAGTCTTCATGACTCTCCCATGAGGGCAATGTTGTCCACATTTTGCCATGAGGAAATGGAGGCTCAGAGAGGCTGAGTAACTTGCCTACAGGTCTATGGTTAATGAGCGGTAGAGCTAGAGTTCAAAGCCCGAGTCAGATTCCCTGCTGCCGCCCCATGGTCAGGTGGTGTGGCTGTTCTCTATCTGAAGGCATATAGGGCATGCCTCCTTTGGTCTCCCTGTATCCTGACATGTCCTGATGCAGAAGATTGGGAAGTGGTTTGAGATAAGACAGAACATAGATGTGGACCAGAATACTATTCCTCAGAGACTTAATGACTGTGGAGTGGTATTAGCCACACACAGACACTATGTAAAGGTCGGCGCTCGTTGGGCTCTGTTAACTTCCTTTGCTGTCTCCCTGCTTCAGCTCCCAGCGACAATCTCAGCATCACCTCTGCTAAATAATTTTATAGAGCACTTGGCTGTGTCTGGTGCTGTGTTAGAACATTTTCCGTTCATCGAGCGCTGGAGCTGGACGGAGCGTGGGCAGTCGTCTGATCTACCAGCTCTCCCACAGAGTGGTGTTTTCCTGGTAGACAGCTCTGCTGTTGAAGAACCTCGGAGCTGCCTGTCTCTCAGCCGCCTAGCCTTCTGTGAGGTGCTCCCTCCAGAAACTTTAAAATAAGACTAAGGCACACGTGAAAGAGTACAGAAATTAAACATGGACTCTGAAATGACCCTGTAAACAAGCGTTATACAGGAAGAGGCTTTTTTTTTTAATTGTAGCATTAAAATCGAGCCACGTTCCAGCCAGAAGCTTTGAGCAGAGTCCAGTTTTAGATTGCTTTGAGGTGAACTGTGTCTGTATCTTGAGAGTCAGCTTTCTCCCGATCTCTTGGCAAATGCATAGAATTATCATAATGTCTATACATTGTCTCACAGACATGTTTCCAGTTCACCCCACTCCCCAAACAGGCAGTGTTAAGTAGACCAGATGTCAAGTGTCCATCTAGGGCTTCCCTGTTGCTACAGGCAAGGGGTACGTGGTTTCAGGCCTTTCTCTGTACATGGCTCCGGTTCTAGGAATTGTGTCTTATGAGGAAGCTGGCGTTTGCTGTCATATTTCATGTCCCCTGGCATGCTCTCCACACACGACTGAATCTCCTCTTCCGCTCCTCTCCACCCTCTACCAGCCCATAGCGTCCCGTTGATTGGGGACACTTACCCTTCTCTGCCTGAACAGTGTTGCCTCTTTAGGAGAGGACAGTTCACTGTTCCTTCCTTTTCCCCTCGTGAGCATCTCATGTTTTTAGGCCACAGGTGGAGGAGTGAGTGCCAGAAAACACAGCCAGTCCGTTTCCGCCTCCATCCTAATCTTCCTCCTCTCCTCCCTTTCCTCATAAAAGGAAAGGGTCGGGACCCTGGGATGCCTGAGGTGCCCACCAGCTCTGACAATCTGGGATTCCCTGGCTTGCTCACTTTCTCACAGTTGGTTTTAACTGCTTTTCTTTGCCAGCCTGGGACCCTCGCCACTCACCTCTCCTACCCACTGCTCACAGGCAGCAGGCCTCAGAGTTGAAATCAGTAAGATGTGCAAAGCTAAGTGTGGAAGGCACTCTAACACCGGTTGTGTTTGGTTAAACTTTCTTAAGTGGCAGCTTTGGCCATTTTTACCCAGCCAGCCCTCTCCCCACTACCCCCCAATACAGAAAGAAAAAAAATATGGAAAAAAACCTTCACTGAGAGGGTGGAGGGGTGATGGAGAGAAGTCTGAGGGTGTGAGGCCATGTCATTGTTCATTCTTCTACTCACTGTTGCCCCAGTGCCTGCCAGATAACGTCATTTCGTATAAAATTTCTCTCTTCATTTCTTGACTGTTCTGTGAGAGTGAAAACGGGCTGGCTGGTGGTTTTTACCACCCACGTTGGGGATGGAGGGATGTCACAGGTCTTTGATGCAAAGGTAACTCCTTGTGGTTACATTTAAAAACACCCCTGGCTAAAGCAGTAATTTGTGGCAGTTACCAAATAAATAAAATCACTTAATACTTTCCCTATAGATTACCAGTCAACAAGTTTTTTTGAAACCTATACAATTATAAAATACAGAAAGGGCTCATCTTCTCCTCTGTCGATGCAACCTGGAGCACACTGCTGTTAAAACGTATGACTTACGCGGTGAAATGTGAACTTGTAAAGACTCTTGTTAGTTGTCACTTTGGGACTCTCCATAATGTGATACAGTACTTTCATGTCATTGAATTGTTTTCTGAATTTAGCCTTAATATGAATCTTCATCATTGTGGGACATCAGCCTGGCTATCCAAACCAGCTGCAAAAGTGAAGCATTCACCAGTGTGAGAATTACAGAGTAAATCATGCAACAGGTAGAAGCAAGAAACCAGTTGTTTTAGTTGAGATCCAGAATCATGTCCCAGTTCACAGTCGGAGCTTCTGACTTGTTTTCCTCTCAGTCTGGCCTGACTCGGAGAAGCTGTGATGTTGCCTTTTGACAATAAGGTAGTAAAGGAAAAGTATTTTTTTCCTTACTTATTAAAATGGAGCCCGAATAATTATTAAATATTCTGTTCAATTTTTAGTGAAAAGCAAGAAGAAATTTGAAAGGTACACAAACATTAAAATACTTTATAACTAGTCGACACAAAAGCATCATTTTTTTTTTTAAGGTAGGCATTTTTATAAATTTAGCGGAAAACACCTACTGAGCTTTGTAAAGGCAGGCGATGGGTTCTCCACTTCATCCTGTGGGACCCTTGTGGAGCTCCTTACAAGTTCACATGCCAGGTTTCTGGGCTTCTGGTTCCACCCTTCCCAGGTTTCTGATTCTGTGGTCTTTGATTGTGCCAGGCATCTGTATTCTTAAAAATTGCTCCACCAGTGATTTGGAACCATCCTCTGAAGGGGTCTTTCAGCTCAGGAGGGAATAAATGTCCCCTTTCTTTGATTACTACTCATGCTCAAACTTGGCGGTTACAGTGATCCCGGAGTTGTGCTAGTCCTTCCTTCTCCTCTGCGAACCCCAGGCGCCAGGCCCCTGGCGTTGGCAGTGAGCACCTGGGCTTGCGCACCTGCGCTGGTGCAGGCGTCTGTGGATAGTGATCTAGGTGGAAGGCTGAAGGGCCCGAGATGGGCGTTTCGAGGGAGCTGTGGGGTTGACTTTCCTGCCAGTTCTGGACATGTGTGTTTGTGGCAGTCCCAAGGTTACCAGACAGAAGTGCTGGGCTGCAGCATTGAAGTCATGTCTGTTAGTACACAAACCTTTTCTCCTGTAAAATCGGAAACTGGGACCTTAGCATCTGGCGATGGGGGAAAACAGAAGAATCCAGTGATCCAGTAAATGACTGACCCCCTTCTCTCTCCAGAAGCCCACCTGCTCCCTTCCCTTCTCCCCTCTCCTCCTCCCCTTCTTCTTCCCATCCTCACTCTCTACCCTGGCCCTTGCTCGCCCCTCACATCATCCCCGTAAATACAGGAGATTGCAGAGGAGCCTGGCTTGCATTTTGAAACATGGTGTTTACAGTACAGAAGGAATCCAAATAAAAGGAGAGGCAGGCAAACCAAAGCAGATAACTGCTGGGGGCAGGGGCATGCTCCGTTCTCAGCAGGTTACCCCATTCGTGGAGTTGGGGTAGCACAGGGCTGCTCAGTGGCTTCTCTTCATGCGCAGGTCTGCTGAGTGGAACCGTGATCTCCTAATCAGACTCAGTTATTTGTTGGTCACTTATTTACTAAGGAGCAGGAGCTTAGAGCAGGGGAACAAAGAAGCTTTAATGCTTCTTAGAGCAGACCTCCTCTGTCTCGACAGCCGGAACCACAGTGACCTTGGGCAGAGGTCACTGCAGGATGACTCAGCAGGTCAGACAGGAGGAGTCCTGGGAAGTCAGACTCCCTGACTTCTGGTCTGCTGTGGTGGGCCAGCCCCACCTAGGTCAGGAGGAGGGGCCAGTCCCAAAGACACCCAGGGACTTCAAGATTCCTCCAGGAAGGCCCCTAGGCGTGCTCCTTCATCCCATCTGATTTCCCAGCGTCCATAGTCCTTGTCATGCTGGGAGTTACTAAAAGTGTCTTCTCTTTGTGACAGACTCCAGGTGTTTTCTTGCTGTGCTCCAAACTCCCTTCACTCACTTGTTGTTATTTAAGGTTTTTAATTGTTATACTGTTATTTTGCTTTAAACGTGTGTATCTTGGGTTCGTTGTTAAATTTTAGTATTTTGAAGATAAGACCTTCATTCCATTCCACTCAGGATAAGGGTAGACAATCACCTGAGTTGTTGATATTCTCAGTATTTTTTTTAATAGATTTTGTTTATTTTTTTAAAGGGGTGGAGGAGGGGAGGGAACAAATGATAATCCCAGGAAAGTGAATCGAAAGCGACTTTTCTTTTTCATTGCAGTAGAAAGCCAGATAAATATATATTTTTTTTCCTGCTTCAGGTCAGAAACCCTTCCCTTGTCAAAAATGCGATGCCTTCTTTTCTACCAAATCTAACTGTGAACGCCACCAGTTACGCAAACACGGAGTTACCAACTGTTCCCTGAGAAGAAACGGGCTTATCCCCCAGTCAAAAGAGAGTGATGTTGGACCCCATGATAGCACAGGTAGTGCTTCCAGGTGATGGAGAGGGAGAGAGGAGGGCCTCTCGGAGCGCTCCGTTAGCGCTGTAGCTGACTCCAGCCCTCCGAGCTGTGGCGGGGCTGCCTTTTCCACTTCTCTGTAGGACTCTGCAGTCCAGAAAGGCGGGCCCTGCCGAGGACCAGGAGCGTGAGCAGGATGGGGATTTGGGAAACAGGGACAGTGCCCCTAGATTGCTTTTCTGAGCTGCTAGGGAAGATGTCACCCTCCCAGCAGAGGTCTGTGTTCATGCTGTTGGGCCCGCTGGAGGGGGGATGTGAGGGAGGGTGTGCAGTCCAGGCTCTTGATAGGAGCACATCTAAAAGGGATGTGAAACCGTCAAGGCCTGGGGTGTTGTTTTCTCCAACCCCAGCCTCTGCTGCACCCTACAGAGCAGGGATGGGTTTGCTCAGATGTCAGGGTATTGCAGGAACTAGTGGTGCCCAGCCCTTGACAGGGAGGGGAGGGGCAGGGTAGGGTGTTTTTCTTTTCAATAACTCTCTTCCCAGTAAAAACTTTGTCTTGTTTGAAAAAGCACTCTGCATGTCCTTTCTTTAATCACATCTCTGCTTGACCTGAATCCGGGTATTATTCTCATGTGCTGATATGTGCTTCCTTCCTCCAGCCCCCCACAGAGCAATTAACGGCTGCCCAGTGCGTCTCCTGCCACCTTTTTTTTCCTTACAGCTTCTGTATTTACTCGTGTCCTCTATTCAGTACATTCTGTTATCTCCAGCTGCTGGGGTTCAGCGTCCCCCACCCCCCAAAACAAACAAAACAAAACATTGGCTGCTGCAGGTTACTTAGACACACGGCTAGTTGGCCAAGGGTTAATAATAACAGCATTGCAAGTATGGATTCAGTTCTACAAATCTTCAAAGCTTGACGTTTCCCCATTGCTTGAAGCTGAGGTGATTTCCCCCTGAGATGTGTTTTTCTAGGGTTGTAATTGTGTCCTGTGCTTCTCACCCTCAGACTTGGGTGGGGGTGGGGTGCTGTGTTGTCTGGGAGTCCTCCTCTCCCGCACTGGGAGTCAGTGTCGGGCTTTAATCCCAGCCCCTAACCCCCTTGTCTGTATCTCAGTTACAGGGGGAGAGGGGCACATCTGAATGGGTATCATTTCCAGGAAGAGGAATTGATCCGGAACCCTCTGTGCTTTCCCTACACCTCCCACTGAGCCCTGGTGAAACAAGCCCTTGAACTGCCAGGCCCTTTGGTTAAGATCAAACCCTCTAAGAACATAAAAGTGTAGGCTGGTTCGCTGGCTCCTCCTTCTAGCTTCCCATGCCACATAATTGGCCAGGATCTTTGAGTAAAGAAGGGTATGGACGCCCACAGAATCTTGCCGTGACTTGGATCCCCTTGAGCCAAAGGTTGCTAGGTGATCTGCTGTTCAACCCCAGGAAACCCACAGGGAGGCTGGCAGAACTAGCCCGGCACATTTTCCCTCAGCCTAGTTTAAGAAAGCGGCTATGTGTGGGGCCGGCCTGTGGCTTAGCGGTTAAGTGCGCACACTCTGCTGCTGGCGGCCCGGGTTCAGATCCCGGGCGCACACCGACACACCGCTTCTCCGGCCGTGCTGAGGCCGCGTCCCACACACAGCAACTAGAAGGATGTGCAGCTATGACGTACAACTAGCTACTGGGGCTTTGGGGGGAGAAAAAGGAGGAGGATTGGCAATAGATGTTAGCTCAGAGCCCGTCTTCCTCAGCAAAAAGAGGAGGATTAGCGTGGATGTTAGCTCAGGGCTGATCTTCCTCACAAAAAAAAAAAAAGCAGCTATGTGATTCTGTCCGTAGTGGTTCCAAAGGAGAGAGAGCAGCGGGTAATTGAGGTGGTCGAGGGGAGCCCTTGGTTTCCGGGTTTGCAGAGTAGTCTTAAAGTGTAATAACCATTTGCTGGATGCACATTTTGGGTGCAGCTTCTTGATCATATGGAGGAACACCAGACCTGGGACCCCTGCTGATGTCTGTGGGGACAGCTGGAGAAGCCTGCAGACACAAAGCTAACTGGAATTTATATCTTAGCTTCAGTTCAGCACCAAGTTTTACATTGAGGGTGTATTTATGTTTTTAATTTGCAGTTATGAGTTTTGTTTTTCCAATTTTTCCAAATCCCATCAGAGCGTCCCCCACCGCCACCCTGCCCCAGAAGTGGTATAGGTTTTCTTTAAGGGTCAAGGCCTCTGAAAAAAGAAAATTCACTGAAAGTTGCAATGTAAAACCAGCGAAGAGAAAATATATGTTTGGTTTAATTGTGGTCACAATCCATAGTGAGAAAGAGGTCTGAGATTCAGGAGGGGGAGAAGGGGGTGAGGGAGGGGGGAGTGCAGTGATTTCAAGGAGAGTTTTAAAACCAGGTGAGCATGCTGCGGGGAGTGGAAGTTTCTTTCAGGGCTCCCTCCAGTGAAGAAAGTGAGGCCTTGGAGGAGGACCATAAAAGAACAAGGGCAGGAAATGACCAAGGAAGTTCCTGGGTTTTCTAGGTTTATATGCCTAGGTTGCATTTTCTTAAAATCCCTAAACATGTTTTATAACATAAGTCTGACTTTTTCAATCACATAAGGCCTTTCACAAAAACGTACCCTAGATTTTCCCCCAAGGAATGCTAAAAATGCTACCATGGGGCAGTTCCAGCTTAAAGGGGCATGTTGGCCATTCAAAGTTAAACTGAAGCTCTTCATTCACTTTCTTGTGGGCAGAGAGGTGCCCTGCGAGAATACTCGTGGTTCTTCCTCCTTGATGCCTGTAGGAGCCTTCATATTTGTAGGCACCTACGTATGACTTTTTACATCAGTATAAACGTGAAGTTTTTAAACCTTCCCTTAATGGTGGCCACCCTTACCAGCACAGAAGCCGCACATGCCAGCGTGGACTGCACCACAGGAAGTGCTGCTCTGCTGCTCGGTAGGTGAAGTACAGACCGAGCAACTTCCTCCACAGCTGTGCCGCTGCCCAATCAGATTAGGTATTTAGGTTATTCCGTGAGAAACATGGAATTTCTAGGAAGCAATACATACTTCGTTGTTGAGCTGACATGAAAGTCTTCACTTTCCCATAGGAGGAGCTGCGGGTTTATTATCTACTAGTGCCTTCAGGATTCTGTCTGCTTCCTCTAGCAGTTTCTTAGATTTAGCATCACAAATGAGGGACTGATGGGGACAGAGAATTAACACTTTAAGGTAGGTGGCATTGCTTACAAAAGTCATCAGCTCAGCTACTTGCGTTTGGAAATGTGGGTGGTTGAGAATGGTGGGAATCAAAAGAGGACCTGGTGTTATAAGCTGGATATTCATGAGACAAAAAGAGGATAAGTCTCTTGTTCCCAAGAATCACTGATAAGAATCGATTGAAGTTGCTGGGAACTTGAAGGGCACGGCTGCCCTGCTAAAACACTCCCCCTAGTGGAAGTTGGGTAGAGCACAGCCAAGCCCCCATTGCTCACCAGAGGAGGTGAGTTCGCCTCTCTGGCGTTTAGGGTGAACTCTCCATTATTGACACTGAGGGCGGGCCCAGGAGTGAGACAATCGGATATTAGTATATTTATTTGGGTTTGGTTTCAGAGTTAATTATTTTTTTTCAAGATCATTTTAGGGCCAGCCCTGTGGCTTAGCGGTTGAGTACGCGCGCTCTGCTGCTGGCAGCCCGGGTTTGATCCCGGGCGCGCACAGACGCACTGCTTCCCCGGCCATGCTGAGGCCGTGTCCCACATACAGCAACTAGAAGGATGTGCAGCTATGACATACAACTATCTACTGGGGCTTTGGGGGAAAAAAAATAAATAAAAAATTTAAAAAAAAAAAAGATCATCTTAAATATCTTCTATTACAGTTAAACTTAAAAATAATCCATGTTCTTTGGTGAAAAAATTTTAATTAAGAGCAAACGCCTAGAATATACTGTGACAAATAGGAAGTAATCAGAGTTAAGCCTTTTTTTTTAATGTAACTACCCACAAAGCCAACAAACAAGAAACTGAGCATTCTGTATTTTTTTATTACAGAATTTATACCAAAACCCATTTAATAGGTGCTCCCTATTGAATCACTCCCTATTAGAGTGATTCAAGAAAATGAGCATCTAGGTTTTCCTTAGAACATGGCCTAGACATTGGTGTATATATCTCAGGATTCATCTTCTTTAAACTTTTGGATAATTTTCAAAAATCATTTATTGTTAGAAATTTTATATTCACACCATGATTATTTGTCCTTCTGAAGCCTTTTGAGATACTCAAACAGTGGCTGCCAAAAGGTCCAGTCAGAATGAAACCAGTGAAATGATGTGAGTGGAAGTGCCACTTGCATTTGGTTGTAGGTAGGCCAGAAGCCCTAGGCAGGTGTGACCATGGGAGGGATGGTGCCAGCTCGTTTGTCCCTGGCCCAGGGACCACCTTGATGGCATATAATCAAGCATGTGACTCAGAGACAGTGGTGGACATGGGTGGACACTGGTACATCTGGTCCCATCACGTGAGGACCCAGGTCAGGTGCATGGATCTGCTCCAGCACTGTGATCAGAGACCTGGCGTAATGAGGGAGGTGCATCTAGCATATGTGCCCTGAACCAGTGAGCTTCGTCAGCCTGACCCACGGAGGAGCTTCTGAGTGCCTGCAGTATTAAATTGGCCATTGGATCTATAGTTAAATGGTAGGTCTCAGCACACAGCTTCACTGTCATAGCACATAATGGAAAAGTCATTAAGTCCTCATTCAACCTGAATAACAAGAAGATGGTGCATTTCATAAATACTGTCCTCTGCTGGGTGTTGTTAGTGTTGCCACAGTGCCACCCCTTCAGAAGGTCTGTAAAAACTATGGTAGACTTCCCACATCTGGGTTTGCTGTGGAGAGTGGACAGGTAGGAACAAACTGAGAGACAGGAAGTGTTTCCACTCCCTACATGGGGTCCTAACAGCAGCCAGCGAGGCCCCCAGGTGTGCATGCGTCTCCTTTCGCCTTGGAACTCTGCCTGGAGATGAGCCATCAGGCGAGAGCATGTGCCCCACAGCACAGACACATGCTTTGGGCCATTTCTAGGAAACACTCACCAGATACCACATTTGGGAGTGTTTGAGGGTAGTCCTGTGTATGTTGCATGTTTGTGTAATCTCTTTGCACTGGAAAAATAACCTTTACGGCTCGGCTTCCTCCATCTCCCTAGTGCTGTGAGTCTCTGGAATGCACCCATGCACCCACTCTCCTCTCTCACAGTCCCTTCTGTCTGCGCTGCCCTGAGTCGCTCTCACCTTCCTCGGGGCTTGACCATCCCTGTGTGTGGCAGTGGAGGGTGCCGGGCACAGCTAGTGGGCAGTAGAAGGGGAGGACAGGAGTTCTAAGGCACAGCCAGCCCCGTGACCCCAACCTGTGTGTATGTGGTGGCTCTTTTTGCCTTTTGTAAATTAACCCCAGGTTCATCTTGGCCCTCTGGGGATGTAGGAGTGATGAGGGTTCGGGGTGAGAGAAATCCTTGCTGGGGTTGGGATACAGGCTTTGGGGGTGTGTCCAGCTGAGTCACAACAGAACCCTTGGAAGGAGCATGTTTGGTGGCATTTGGTCTCAACCTCAGCCCTATGTTTGCTCCCACAGACAGCCAGTCAGACGTGGAGACATCAGCCGCAGGAGGTGAAGTTCTGGACCTCACCTCTCGGGAGAAAGAGCAGCCGACGTCGGAGGGAGCCTCTGAGCCCAGCCAGGTCGAAGAAGAGCTCCCCACAGAGGAGCTGAAGCCTGTAGACAGGGAGGAGAAGGGAGCCAAGGAGAGCCAGGAGCAGGAGGACAAGAGTGGGATGGAGGAGAGGGACGAGGACACAGACGGCCCGGAGGAAGACACCGTCAGCAACAAGAGCCTAGACCTCAACCTTGCCAGCAAGCTGATGGGCTTCAAGCTGGCCGAGGGCGACGCCGGCACCGTGGGCAGCGGAGGCTCCACCCAGCAGGACCTGAAGCACGCCTGCGACATCTGCGGCAAGAGCTTCAAGTTCCTTGGGACCCTGAGCCGCCACAGAAAGGCTCACGGCCGCGAGGAGTCCAAGGAGGAGGATGCGCTTCCTCGGGAGGGCCAGGGGGTGAGCGGAGCAGCCGAAGGGCCACTGCTCGTCCCTGCCACGCCCCCTGCCCCTGAGCCGGAGGAGAAGACTGCCAACCCCTTGGTGGAGCTCCCGGCCGAGGGAGAGGCCTCATCGGAAGCCTCCGCAGAGAAGCAGAGCGAGGAGGCGGAGGGCACCTCCGACGGGGAGGGCACAGCCGAGAAGAAGTCCTCAGAGAAGAGTGACGATGACAAGAAGCCAAAGACAGACTCCCCCAGAAGCGTGGCCAGCAAGGCCGACAAGAGGAAGAAGGTCTGCAGTGTGTGCAACAAGAGGTTCTGGTCCCTGCAGGACCTGACCCGGCACATGAGGTCCCACACAGGTAAGGGCGGCAGCCCCTGCGGGAGCCTGGGGAGCGACCTGGTTCCCACGCCTCCCCAGGGGGCGAGTTTGATTCCCGTCTCTTCCCTCTGGCCCACCTCAGTCTGTAGGAGGAGCCTCCCCTGAAGCACTGGTGGAAACCCAGGCTGGAGGCGGGAGAGAACGTCCTGACTTTGCACGTGTGCCCGCTAAGCGTGGTGAAGTAGGGGTTCAACGAGTTGTTCTCTCAGCGCTGGGACTGTACAGGCTTCTTGCAGGGAGGCAGTAGAGTGTGCCTCAGCATTGGTGTTTCTGAGAGCATTGTGGTCAGTCCCTTCCCTCTGAGCCTCTGTCTTCCTCTCCCTAGAATGGAGATGATGGCTGCCCTGTCTCTTGAGCATCTAGAAGAACGTGGGTGCTGCACAGTTGGGGCGTGTGGTCTCTTCAAGTCCTGAGCCGGGAAGGACCGTGGGGGTGGCCCGGGGAGCAGGCGGGAGGGACAGGCGCTCTGTGGCGCTCGCTGCTCCAGGCTCTGTTGTTGCACCCGGGCCGCGTCGTTAGCTGTCAGGTGGAAAGTTTGCTGCAGACCCACTTTGCAGCAGCTGGGCTGACGTAACCGAGAGGGAGCTTCACCTGGCTGCCACACAGGCACGTCGGGGCACCCCTGCTCACACACGTCCTTGCTCCTCCAGGAACTCACCACCTACCGGGTCGAGGCTACAAACCCCAAGGCAGGGACCGATGTTTTGGTAAAAAGGAGACCTGGATATACTCATGAAGTGAAAAGATGCAAACATATCCACCCACCCCCTGCTTCAAAAAAAAAACCTGTGGCTTGCTCTCGGCTTTCCTCCTCCCTCTGGCCGCAGCCCGCGGTGCACACACGCTCCCCGCACTCTCCCCGCGCCTCCTGCAGTCCGCTCGGCCCTGTGCTCGGGGGATTTGGAGGCTCCTGTGCTTGGCTCCCAACAGAGAGATATTCTTGGGCTCCTGGCAGCTGGTGCTCTCAGCTGCTCGCAGGTCCGTGTTGTGAGCAGGAGGGAAAGCCCCAGCTGCTCCGTATCAGGACACAGAGTATCTCGAGCCTTTGACTTAGGAGGGGCCCCTGTTGGGCAGAGCCCTGGGAAATGGGGCCTTCACTGTGGGAGAGACACTGCTGCTGTCCTTCCACGAGATTTTTTCCAGGCCATTCTGGATGTCCCTGAGGCCTCCACTTCGGAGATTCTGGTCCCTGGATCAGTATGTGAAAAGCTTAGATTGAGAGAGAAAAGGGAAAGAGAAACGGGCTGGCCCCTCACACTTCTGCTCCCTCTTTTGCCAGTTTGGACAACTAGGAGGGTTTCCCCTGAGTAGGAGGGAGTCCTGGCCCCTGCCACCCGCTGCCCCTTCGCTTGCTCGTATGGCTGCTGATCTCACGCAGAACAAGGAGGTGGATACTGGTGGCCTTACTGTCAACAAACATAATTTCTTTCTCTCATCATTCCAGGAGAAAGGCCGTACAAATGTCAGACCTGCGAGCGAACCTTCACCTTGAAGCACAGCCTGGTTCGCCATCAGCGGGTCCACCAGAAAGCCAGGCATGCCAAACACCACGGGAAGGACAGCGACAAGGACGAGCGGGGTGAGGAGGACAGTGAGAGCGAGTCCACCCACAGCGGCAACAACCCTGTCTCGGAGAACGAGGCAGACTCAGCTCTACCGGCCAGCAACCACGTGGCGATCACCCGGAGCCGGAAGGAAAGCCTAGCCAATGCCACCAAGGATTCCAGCCACAGGGAAGAGAGGGCGGCGGGTCGGACGGCTGGTGCTGGCCAGGCTGAAGCCAGCAGGAGTGCTCCCAAGGCCGCTTCCCTGGGCAGCCCCAAGGAGCAGGCGTCTCAGGGTGATGCTGACCGGGAGAGCCCGGCGGCCCTTGTGCAAGACCTGCTGGAGTTGCACAGCAAGAGGCCAGCCCACCCCATCCTGGCCACAGCCGATGGCGCCTCGCCGCTCCTGGGGATGGAATGACAGCTCGACCTGTCCTCCCCAGCACACAGACGAAAGCCAGCAGAGCAAAGTGTCCTGAATCTATATTTCACGGGGTTTCCTCAGTGCTCTTCAGCTTCGGGGAGTGAGAGAGATTGAGAGAGAGAGAGTGAAGAGATGAGCCAGAGCAGGCCGTCTCACCCGGTGCCATAGCCTTACACGTCCCCGTGCGGGAGACGCAGCACATCCGACTCGAGTGCCTTAACTACTTACCAGTCCTTCGGGGTCAGCCTGGGTGTTGTGTTTTCCCAGCATGACTTTTTAAAAAACAAAGCAAATATTTTAATGAATTACTTGGAGATGACCTTTTCATTTAAGCATTAATGTTACCTTCTGTACTGGTGTGTGTGAGCTCGTTCTTGCGAATCTGTGATAGTAACGTTTGTTCTGTGAGCTGGAAACAGAAGAAAAAAACATGCCCTTGGATCCCCATAGCCAATAACTGGAAGAAAATGATGTGAATTTCATGTAAATTACCAGAGGAAACATGGATAAGATGCTCATTTCTCAAATAGACCTTTTCTTTTGTTCTTTGCTACGTGGTGGAGCTGTAATTCGGTCCTCCGTATTGCAGGATGTGGTTGATGAAGGTTTTCAATTTGGTTCAAGCCAAAACCAGGAAAGAGTCTAGCTTCAACCTCGTACATGTTTCCACTCTTTCAGCGTTAGACACGCTATTACTGTTCAAGTTTCAGAACATCCGTTCTTAACTTACAGAGAAGAGTTACCCTGGCAACTTAACCTATAGAAAACATATACAGATGTCACATAGCTGATTCCCCCCTTCCAGTATATGTATTAATAATATTATTATTATTATTATTTTTAGTTCATCAGTTTGCTGGTCTCTGCAGTCAGCAGAAACAAATGGGCAATATTTGTCCTGGGAGACCTGGGCCTCCCGGTCCCCGTGTGAGCGTCTGCCCTCAGCTGACCCTGGCGCCCTCGGGTGGTAGCTCTTCTACTGTACTTAGACAAGCCTTTCCTCCGTGACTGCAGAATCCAGCAGGGGCCACGACGGTCCCCGTGCCTGCGGCTGAGGAGCAGCTCAGAGAGGGGAGAGCGAGGGTCCTGCGCCTGGGCCTTCTGAGAAAGCCAGGCAGCGAGGAGACCTGTTACTCGCCGGTCTTCCTGCCAAACCCAGCCCAAGCCTTACCCGCCTGTGCTACTGTCATTTGCAAAGCGAGGAAATACTACTACTACTGGTAATAAAACTGCACATGCAAGATGGAAGATGAGGCATAGATTGATATTTACCTTCCTGCAAGTTGGGGTTGGTGCTTGAAGATAAACGTGCTGTTTCTAGTTTCTTTAAATAACCTGAACCCCTGGGTGCAAAAAGGCAGGGTTTTTTGCATGAGCATCCATCCTATGCAGGCAGTAGACTTCCCTCCCTGTAGCCGCCAGCAGTGAAGAGAACAGATCCTACTGTAGCTGAGCTTGTGTTCAGCCTCCTGTCCTCCAGCCGAGACCTCTGGGATGCCCGAGCCTTCGTGCTCCTGGGGCCTCCTGTGCTGCCTTCCCCTGGGGAGCCACCCCCACCGCCCCTCCCAGGACCCTGGCGCTGTGTGGCTCTCAGTGCCACTGTGCACACAGACACACACAGACCCCTTTCTCTCCACTTCCGTACCAGTTTCTGGTGGCCAAAATCCAACCGCCCAGACTTCAAAGGAAGATAGATATTCTTGAGATAATGAAAAGTGATATCTTTGCATGTGAAAGGAAAAAGGTTGAGGTATGTATGATTTTTAACTGTATTAGGGATGTATGAACCAGTTTCAAAACGAGGTTTTATTTACTCTAGGTGAATACAGATCAGAACCAGTGATCCCCGTGTCTCACTTCCCGCCGAGTGTGGTCTGCTGCGTCAGAAGCGGTTCCTGCATCCCTTTTCATGACGATTGTCGTTATTTTCGTTGTTGTTGTTATTCGGGGTTTCTTGTGTTTTGTTTTTCTCTGCAACTCCCCACACTAAAACTCACAACACTGTGGGGAGAAGCCACGACTTCACTCTCCGCCGAGGTGAGATGTAGCAGGAATGGGCTCCGGCACGGCCGGGCCGCAGCTCGCAATAATCACTCTTGATTTAAAGCTTTATCTAGCCTTCATCTGTCCCCTCGTAGTCGATAAGGTCTTGCCACATTTTATTAGTGAGGTTGAGAAATGTATTATTTGTTTGTTGTTCTGCCCCTCCCCCAATATTAAACTGTGAAATTTGTGATTTGTTTAAACTCTGGGTGAATCATAGCTTAGTTTGCATGTCCAGCTAATTTGTTTCTAGACATTTTGTTTGATTCTCTTTCTCCTTCTCTCAGGGCTTTTACAAAAAAAATATATATATATGGATCTTCTAAAAAGTTTTTTGAGGTGCAAGTTTTTCTCTTTTGTTTTTCTCTTTGAATTATGGACACAATGCTGAGATTCAATCACTACATGAAACTCCTGGCTGTGAAAACAAAACAAACAACCCAAAGGGCCATGTTTGCAAACAGCCCCGGGGAAGCTACGCGCAGCCGGATGCCAGTTTCAGGAAGATTCATCGTACCTTCCGCCCTCCGTTCCTCTCTGTCCTCCTCTCTTTCTTCAAGAAGGAAGTTGATCCTAGTGATTTCAGCCCATGCATTAAACAGGAAACAATAATAAATGTGTAGAATTCATATTTTTCTAAAGGGAACTTACAAACTGCTGCTACAGGTTATGTACAAAACTGGTTTATGCCACAAGAACAGAATCACACGTTTGGTTTTGGTACTTTTTGTTCCTCTTTGTATTCAGTGTATAGTACTTCCAAATTCAGAATGAGAAGAAAAGCTGTTCTGTATCAAACCATCTAAGCAATAAATGTTATATTTCAAAACGGCAGATTGCCGGTCACACGGCCGTCCTGTGATTTGCTGTCATGCTGTCAGCTTGTCCTGCCCTCAAACCGCAGCCTGCTCAGAGCAGGTCACGGGTGCTGGGGCATCGGGGGAATCGCAGGCCTGCCTCCCAGTCAGCACGGGCTCCCAGGAGCACCCCGTCACCCAGGCAGCATCTTTAAAAAGAAGCCTCTTGAGCTCACTTAGCTGCAGTTGGGGGGCTTCCTGGGGGAGAGGGTGGAGTTACGAAGTGCACGCTGTTGGCTGTTGTCGTGACTTGATCCTGGAGCACAGGGCTGTCCTTTCCGGGGCAGCGGGCAGGCCAGTGGGCCTGCAGCAGCAACTCTGTCGTGGTTTAGCAACAGCTAAAGCCGGCAATTCTATTTCCTGGGCAGCAACTCCTGAGAAGTCCACTCGGCCTCTGCCTTTTCCTCCCAGTTATAAGGGATCGAGTTGCCCGTGGGTGGAAGGGGACTCCCATAACTCAGACTCTGATCATGCAGACAGGAGCAGCCTGGACAGGATGGTGACCCCAGGGCTGGATAGAGCAGGTCCAAACCCACGTTTGGGGGAGGTCTGCTACCGTAAAGCAGCTTATGGGCAAAGTCTCGAATCTTCTAAGCCGGGAGTGTTTCTCAAAAAGCAATTCAGCAGGCAGCTGGGTTCAGGGAAGCTAATTATAGACGATGCTGAAAATGTGTTGTGCTCAGCTCTAAGTGCCGGATCACAGCGAGAGGGGAGTCGCAATGCTCTGGTCCTTAAGGCTTTGGAGGTCCTCTGCTGGGGCCTCTGCTGCACCCCCCCCCCCACAACCACACACACACACGCGCACACACAGAATTACAGATACCTCTCCCTCACCAGCCCCAGGAGGCTGGCTGTGAAGAGACACCAATGGGGGGCCTGAACTTGTATTAAAGGAAACAACTCAATAACTTGGAAATGATTATAAGATAAAGAGCTCACAAGAGACAAGCCCCCAACCTCTCCAGTTATCACGGGTGGGTGCTGCTGGCCGGCGACAGCGACAGTTACAGCCCCCACGTGGGTGGAATCCTGATGGAATTTGGACTGTACCTGCTCAGTATGAGGAGCAAAGGGGTGGTGCCTGTGGCATGTGATGGAAAAGACGGGAGCGCAGCCCTGTGGGAAAGGCCCCTCCACCCACCCAGCGTCGGCCGTGTATCGAGCACAACCCCCAGGTCTGAGTTACGTGGGGAGGAGGCAGATAGGAGGTCAGAAGATAGAATTTACCAGCAGCATTCTGCCTGTCACTTAAGAGGTCTGATGTCCAGCAAATGCGGTACGTCTGGGCTGTTGCCTCCCCACTTCCAGATGTAAGCCCACCCGGGCCTCCGGGGAATGAGCTGCCCTCTCCTGCATACCCTTCTCTCCGGGGATGGCTTGTCTCTCTGCCTCACGGCTGAGGCTGTTCTGAACTTTTGTGCCCGGCAGTGTGCTGGCTGAAACCCCGGACAGATGGTGGAGAGAGCCCGGGTCTCAGGTGGGGTCCAGTTCTCCAGGCAGCTGTCCTGGAAGAGGAAGGGAGTTAGGCACTTGCAGAGTGGACATTTTTTGCAGATTTTATTTTTTGGCTCCAATAGTGGTTTACATAATGACCCTCATCATCAAGAACAATCTGTTTATTGGGGGAAAAATGGGGTTTGGGTTTTCTCTTGTGCCTTCAGAGAATCCCAGTCAAGCAGAGGTAAGCCTCACGTGTCCAAGGGCCGTCTTAGCCAGAGGCTGTGCTTCTCTTTCTGCTTCCTCCCTTTCGACCCTCTTCTCGACGTTTCCTTTCCCTTTTAGAAGGGGAAAATGAAAGCAGTTATGTTTAAAGATCAGTTTTACTTTTGTAGTTGTCAAGACGCGGCGCAGGCCTATGAACTAAACCGAGCTTCGGTGGTGTTCTACTTGTCTGTTCTTTCCCAGGGTCCAAGTAACCTCGGGTATGCGTTTGGTAAACAAAGCGTTTGCTGGAGAGCCGCTGTGAGCCAGGCACTGTCCTGGGCACGGAGAGGACAGCATGGAGCAAAACAGATCCTTTCCTCGTGGAACTTAGGTTTTGACGGTGGGAGACAGTAAACGGACTAGATGAGGAAGATACACAGTTGGTGCAAGTCTAAGGGCGAGTGGGCCACGAGGGGTGGGGCTGGGGAGGGACGGGGCAGATGACCAGCATGGTCTCAGGACAGCAAGCAGTAAGAAGGTCACCCACGCAGATGCCTGCGGAGGACCCCAGAGAGAAAGTCCCTCGGGGGAGCATGCCAGGCCCCTGCAGAAGTCACTATGCCTGGACAGGAATGAGCAAGGGCTGGGGCCACAGCGGAGGAGGACGAGGAGAGGCACGCTGGCTGCGTGCAGACGGTGGGCTGGGGGACACGCTGGCTGCGTGTGGACGGTGGGCTGGGGGACAAGGGTGTATGCAGAGAGATCATCAAGAGGCAGTCCCAGTAGTGGAGGCAGGAGATGGCTGTGGCTCAGAGCAGAGTGACGGGGTGAAGGTGTTGAGAAGAGGCTGGGTTCGGGGTGTATTTTCAAGGGGAACCAACAGGATTAGATGACTAATCAGATGAGTGAGCTACAGAGAAGTCAAAGCTTTGAGAATCTGCCCAGAACACAGGCTCAGAGGTGAGCTGTGACGTCTAGATGTTCAGAATTAATTTTAAAAAAGGAGGCCTCACTCCTGATAACCTTGGTAAAGGATGTTGCCAAGGAAAGGAAAAAGGGAAAAAATCCTCGATGCTTTCTGTCCACCCATGTAAGCACCCCGTTTCTAGGAAGTGGCTGCTGACATCCCTGTGGCTGAGGGCACGTGAGTCTGTCTGTGGTGGGTCCCAAAGAGACAGCGGCTCCTCCCCCA